TCAAAGGCCATTGGAAACACACAACATAAATCTAATCAAAGTGACTTTAGTGGGAACAGGACCTGATCAAATATGCAACACAACACTCCTCCCTCTCCAGCTCCCTTCTTCCTAATTAGTATTTTGTCATACAGAGTTCAGCGTGTTCTCATCCTTGTGGAAAATTTTGGTTACAAATAACACAAAATATGCTTATATTTTCTGTATGGATTTTGTGACAGATTTCCAGCTTACTAGTAACACTGGTGTGAATTTTTTCTCCTACTTTGAATGAGGCATCAAGTGCATAATTTTTCTACAAGAACCAAAGAAATTAACAGAGGTGAAAACTCAGTGTCATGAAAAATGGACTAATTTGAAATGCAAAGTACAAAAATAATCTCATTTATATTTTTCATTTTTAAATTCCCAATTCAATTAAAGTATATATTCACATAAAGAGTCAGAGATAATGTATTTGACAGAGCTTTCTTGGTGTATTGTAGAATAATTTTTTTCATTATGCAACTAGTTCTGTAAATGGTTTAATATTAATAAAATTAAATATTAATTGACTTTAATTAGACTTTTATCACATAGAGGCTCAAAAATAATGGATTTTTTTCAGCCAGTTTATCTGCCTTAAAGAGATGGACCACATTTTGAGAACATATTTGAATTTCCCAGTAAAATCAAAATATTTGTGCCTGTCAAAACCAAAGTATATCCACACATCATGCAAGAGCAAAGCTGCAAAACACTATGGAAACAATGTACGTTCCCATGATGGAAAACCTGGAAGTTATAAGCGTATTTGTATTTTACCAAAAGAAATTATAATGCCTTTCATTTCAGATTTTTTAAAAGTTCTTGAGGTTTTTGCTGACAACAGCCAGTACAGCAACCAGAAATTTTAAAGTGGCATCGAAACTCTGAAGGCACACATAGTTTCCAATGTCATCAATCTTATCCAGTATGGATAATAGCTTGTGCAGTAGGTATGGATCAGTACAAAAGTGAATTCAGCCTAGGCCTCATCTTGCATGTCTTGGATGGAATGGAAAATGAGGCCTAGGTTGTTAAATTCAACAGGCCTTGAAACAACCACTGTCCCTTCTAAATACCTGAAGTTAGATGGAAAGCACCACCTTCACAACCTTTCAGTTAAGTGATATCGCGGGCAGAATGACAATTATCAAATTTCCTATTAAGTGCTCCCTTCCTAATAACCTGGACAATAATATTGGTCAGTCGTGCTGGTTTTTAAAGCATGTCTCGATTTCTGGTGGTGCCCTTAAGCACCCCTGTGTTTTTCCAAATGTATAATTATTCCTTTATATATCTGGCAGATAATAAGCAAGTACAGAGAATTGTTCCTTCAATTAAACTGGTGCTGGAAATAGAGACACATGTAAACAGGAAGAGAGAATCGTGCCAAAAATTAATCTCTTTCTTAATTTCTCCATTAAGATGTAACTGCAATCCCAGCCAATATTTATGTAGTCTAATTAAAAAGACATTAGGAGAGCCAGGGCTCTGGCTCACAGCTCCACCTCTCCTCCAAGCACTTTCCCATATCTTGCAGCCATTGCTGGGACCACCAGCACACATTTGAGAGTCTGCAGGAAGAGCCAGGGTTTCCTTCCTGCTGGCAAGCTGGATAACCACCATCCCTTTTGCACCCAATGATTTTGGTGGATCTGTTGGCTGTTCTGCCTGCCAGACAAACATGTAAGAAAAACTGCACAGTTCAAAGTACATTCTTTACATACTTTGGTTATCACTAGCATTAAAGGCAGTGCAAGTGCAGTTATCACTAGCAATAAAGGTAGTGCAAATATGCAAGGCACAGATTAAAGAAAAGGGATTGCAAAATGCTTTATTTTGGATATAGGGAAATGCTTTTGTCTGGGAAATAGCTTTCAGTATAGGTTACACCAATATGTGCTGCCTTATAAAAAGTAATTGCTATAGCTTATTTGTTGCTGTTTATTTTGCTCCAGAATTACACTGCAAAAGGATATCTGAAAAGTTTTTGTCTGTTGAATCCTAAATAAATCCCAGGTAAAAACTGTACAGTAACAACTGTACAGTAACAACATTTGGCATAGGAAAATCAATGGATGTTTTTGCCATAAATAACTCTTTTTATTGAAAGTATTAATTCTATAGGTGATAAACTCTAATTAAAGAATAAAATATTGCTGTGTGACTTTATACATACTACATAAAGCATATGTGTTATAGTGATCCCTGATAGACCAAACATAATACAAAACTCACACTGGAGATGATTTTTTAAGTGGTGGATTGATAACAGCCCTCTTCCCTAATGAAGGACTCAATCCAAAGCAAAAGGTTAATTTGCTGTTCTCTGTCTCATCTAGAGAAGAGTTTTTAAAAGGCAGAAATAACTTGCAGAGGAGCCACCATGTACTAGAGCACTAAGATATTTTGTAACTGGGACCTTATTTTGATTGCGTTATAACATTTTTTTTGGCTGTTTCTATATTTCCCTTCCAGTTTTTATACCCTGCATTGAGATTTGAGCACTTTTCTATATTGGTTGTACAGCTGAGAGAAAATGGTGCTCTGAAATACCAACAGGAGCGTGACTTTACTCTGTTGACTATATAGAGCATATATAGGGAAAATAATTTGAAGAAATTAGATACTTAAACACTTCTAAATAGTGCTTACACCTCCTCAAGGATTAGGCAGGGTCCTACACTCCTGGTAGCCATCAAGTCTTCAAACTGCTTAGAAATACTGGCACTTATCTTCAATGCCTACATTGCAACTCAAAAGCCTTATCTGGAAGGACAACTAAATGCCCTTACAGGTACCTACTGCTGATTTCCATACACTAAATTATGCATCTGGTTTGATTTCCCTGAAGTAACTCATGCTAGATTAAAACAGAAACAAATTTTTTTCTAATAATGGCAATAAAGGAGAAAGAAGTGTCCAGCCAGAAATTTTGTTATAAACTTAGTTCAACATGCTTTCCATCCAGGATGAGCAGAGGGGAGGTGGGGCAAGGAACTGAGGAAAGACTTTCTCCAATTTAGGAAATGCTTTTTTCCCTCCATACATATAGGAGAGTGGCAGAAACTGAACCAAAGCTGCAGTTAAAGAATTTTCTCAATAAAAGATAAATGATGTATCTAATAGAGAGCGCTTTGTGACAGGTGTTTGACATCACTTTGGTACACCTGAATACAGCTGCCCACACAAACTGAGGACCAAGACTCCCTTACCTTAACCACAAGACCACCCTGAGGAAACAAAGCATCACAGTCAGTTGAATATGCTGAAGCAAGTAATTTGTTTTCTTCCTGCTGCTACATCAGCTACCTATTCATGGCAGGATTCTTGGAGGCAGGAATGTACTTAACAGAACATCCAGGATCTCCTGTGGTAGTGTGTGTAAGGGTCCAGATTTGTTAAAGACACTTAGCTAGCAGTGAGAGAACCATTCATTTAAAACTTAGGAAAATCATTACCACAGATGAATTTTAAAATTCTGCAAATGCATTCCTTCTGAGGCCCAAGTAAAGTACAGTTTTGCTCATAAGTTAAACAGGTATTATGCACTCTGCTTTCCAAAGCAAACCCTATTCTCAATCTTTTTCATGCCTCTTTGGCTATTAAACATGCCCTTCCTCTAAAGCCTTTTCACTTGAGCAAAAGTGATGGGATGGGGGGATATTTCATTCAGTTTGTTAGTTTTCTTTTTTTTTAGAGTAATAAAAGAAACTGCCAAATACTTCTGATGATGTACTTACCTGATGCAATAGCTGCAAAATTCAAATGACTGTCATATGAAATGTCAGCTTGTGAACAGTTTTCATAAACTAGGGCATTCAAGGATTACTCTTTACCAAAGAGTCTTTCTGTGATTCTTCATCACATTTTGTGAATCCATATGCATGTAGAATATCACCAAGCTTGCAGCTTGACAGAGGTGAAAGAAGTGCTGTTGGACACATCCACAAAGATTCTCAGTTGTCATCATCAAGAGACTTCTTGTATTTCCTCAGCAATTACAGCACTGCTTAATTTGCACAGAGGCTCAAATGCCTCCCCAGCAGAACTGCTCATGCCTGAGGCTCTCTCACTGGCTACTGTGTAGTGCAGAACTTTAAACAGAAAGGAAACATCCTCATGAAACTGGAAGAACATAATGCCCTATGACATACATGGCTGCTCACTGAACTCTTCCTCTTCACAGAATTCATTTGGATGATTAATAAGAGAGGAAAATATAGAAGCAAACATTCAAACAAAAGCCCCAACCATATCAACATTTCACTGACAGAAATGACACTAGATAAACTTCAATGCACATTCTGGCTCTCTTAGATAACACACAACAATTGAGGAGACTAAGCTGTGCAGGAGGATGCATTCAGCAGCAGTGTGTTATGCATGCACATCATCTCACAGGTTCCTCTAGTCAGTGATTAGTGCCATAGTCATACATCCCTGCATCTCACACATTAGTGTCTACCGTGATGGCTGATTTGTGCATCGTGATGACTCAGAATTAATTCACAGTTAGAAGCTGCAGGTTTCAGAAAATGCCTTGTGAAGGTGAGTGGTTGATGCATTCTATGCTTTGCCTAGGCATGGATACGTGCAACTGCAGTGTTACAGCTGTCTGCTGCTCCCAGGACCTCCTTGCTAGGATTGTATAATCACCACATCTTCATTCCATAAGAATTCTTGGGCTGGCCACACAAAAAAAAAACCCACACTCACATCAGATGGATGCTTATCAGGTCACAAAAGAAAAGAAAAGAAAACCTTAAACAACGAAAGATCACTTCAAATGAAGCTTGATTGGGCGTATTCTTGAAAAGGTGCTCAAATTACCTGAACCATTTTGTTTGATCTTAAACATGGACCAGGGGCAGCTGCAACGAGCTCCGAGCTTTGGCACATTCCATTATATGAATGGTAGTGAATTTATAATGGAATGGTATGGATGGTTTTTATAATCAGAAAAACACACTGACCTTAACACTACACAGGTGGAGCAGCATAATGACCCGCCAATTGTAAGCGCATCAATTCCTGGGGAAAATTCAATGAGGTTAACTCAGCATGTATCCCGCAACCAACATAAGCGACATTTAAAAATACTGTTTTTCCACCAAAGCCTTTGACAACATTTTATTACTTGATTCGTTCCACTGTTCAGTATCTAGTGTACTTTATCCATGTTAACAGCATACTACGTTACGTTCCAGTAGAGCTGGACATTGTCATGCACTTCAATGCTGAAATACACGCATTTTAGAAACTAAGAACAATGTTAGGTACAATAAACTTTTCAGACTGTGTGAGATTAACCATAATATCCATTTAACTTAGGAAGAAACTAAAAGAAAACAAAAGGCTTCTACAGCGGAGTTTCATTGCAAAATCCTCACACTGAATGAGCTTAGATGGGTGCCAGCTGACCAGTATTTCCTCTTCCCATTAATTTATTGACAAACATGGATATTTCAGGGACCAGTCACAAAGGAAGTAAATTTCAGTGTACCATACTGGAGCGGACCAGATATCCAGTCTGAGTAGTCCAATATATAGTTTGAATAGTCCACGATTAGACTACAAAATACTGTGAACAAGATTCTCCTCCTTCCTTACTCAGGCCTCAAACAGTTTTGAAACATCCACATGTTAACTACGCAGAGAGAAACAAGGAAACGAAGAGAGAAACTTAAGCCTGAATCAGGAAGAGCCAATCGGCAAGGACAGAAGGCTCTTCAAACATGAAGTAATAAAAGTTTAAAATACAATTAAAAAACCAAAAAACACTCACAACTCAGCCACATGAGCAACATTTACAATGCCTATACTTCAGCCCTTCCTTCTCTTTTGTGATCTGGGCATGCTGACACTTTATAGCTTCCCTACAGCACTAGCAGGGAAAGCCCTTCAGCAACCAGAGTTTGATATCCCCATCTCTTCACATCAGACAGGTCTGGAGACTGTTGGCCCACCCTACTATTCATCCCCACCATGAGTTTCTACTGTGCACTCATCAACAGCTGAGAAACCTTAAAACAACATGATCGACACCGCTGCTAAAACTGTCAATTCATCAAGAGCACAAAAATGAAGAAGAGAAGCAAAAGTTTTGGATTTAGGAAGACTCTCAACTATTCAGAAACGTTCAACTGAAAAAACAAAACAAACAAAACAGTGCCATTTGATTATACTCACCTGTTATTAAAAGACTTTCAAAAGTAATAGCCACGAAATTAGACAAAATAAAAGTACACATTGCTTTGTCATCTCCCTCTGTCTTGCATAAGCCACTAAATCTCATGGACATAATCCATTTTAGTCCCAAATGTACCAACTGCCCATAGTCTGGTGGCCCTTTGCTTTTATTAAAGAAGCATATTTACACTGGAAATAAAGCAGGGTGATCCCAAAGTTGGGCAAGGAGCCACATCATCTTTAAAGGCAATCTCAGAGAAGTTAATCCACACTTTTTTCAGCTGTCTGGTAAAGGCACACACAGCAAAACTCTTCCAAATAGCTGAACTGTAAATCCTCTTCTCACAACCAGCCACCATGAATTTTCTACAGCCACACAGAAGCTGGTTTCAGACTTAGTAGCTTAGTAGCACATAAAAAAAAAGTAATAAACTACATTATGCCACATACAGTGGAGACATTCCATTCTCTACTTTCTGTGATTTGGGATAAAAGTACAGGCACAGGTCTCTTCCTAAGCCAGTTCTAATGCAGCTTTCATAGAAAGTTTCATTCCCAAAGGCAATGTGAAAACCCCACAGCTTCACTCTTGCCTCTAGAGCCAACCACAATACACCAGCAGCTTATGCAGAGCAGGGATGCTGCAAGACCACTCTGGAAGGAGGAAGAGTTTCCAGACTTGCACCCCATCTGCCTCCTGCTGTGCCAGACAACACAACTCCAAGGTATTGCAACACATTTTCTCACTTCTTCATCCTCAAAGCATCTCAGCATGACAAACCTCAGTTGAAGTCACTCAGTTTGTGAATGGCAAGCAAAAATAAACCAGTGTGCATATCTACCTAAACTGCCTGGCTCACATATCATGCAAAACCTATGCTGAGTCACAGAAAGCATTTTTTGCACAGAGGCAGAAGGTGTTGTGATCCCTTCACACATTTAATCCAGAAAGAATGACATTGCTCAGGTTTTATGGCAAACCTGACAGAAAGCCCTGCTGCCAGCACCCCAGCCAGCCAGGAACACCCCATGGGCAGCGAAGCTCCAGTGCCACGCTGCAGTCAGGGCTCTGTCCCTGTGCTGTATTCATCCCCTGCTCCAGGACAAGAGGCAGGTGTGCCTGTATGCATTCAGACTTAAACAGCAACAGATGGGAGAACTGCTATCTTACATATGGATAGATTATCTCAGGGGTACATTTATATTAAATGACGTGCTTCAGAATCATAATTATAATTGAAGTGCACTTCAGGTAAATTGGAGAGCCTATGATCATAAAGACTATCATTGCTTAGATGAACACAGTTTTCTGGATTTGTTTGTTGCTGTCTCTGGTCACCCATGAACTCCTGTCTTTACATCCAGATTGCAAGTTTCCTGGCACTTTAGTTTGGGTTTCACACGGCTCTCATACAGCATTTGTACATCTCAGTCCATGACTGGGTCTGCCAGTTGCTATTGCAATGAAAGTCTAAACAGCATTTATTTCATTAAATGCATATGCAAACATATCATCTCAAGGGCCAGGAAAACCTGAATTATTATGTTTAGAACCTGTGTGATAAAGAGGTAAGAGAAACAGACTAAGGAATACAGGAGAACACAGGAACTCTGCTGCTTGTTTTGAGACTACTACAACCTGTGTACACATTCATTTTCTGTCTGGGAACAAGAGTTTGTCAACAAAATCAGCCCCAGCTCAGAGGATGAGTAGTTTCCTCTTAGATCTCCACATGAGATTATCATGATCCAGAAGAAAAGTAGGGAGAGCGGTCCACTCAGCAGTGAAGTCTTCTTAAGCTATTTCTTCTTCCAGAAACAAAGCAAATTGAAGTGGATTCAACTGATGTTTACTACCTCCCTGATTTCTGTTTTTATCTCTCTCACCTTACCTAACACATTCTCTTTCCTCACTTGTCATTTAACATTAGGGGTTCTTGCTTGCTATTCAGCCCTGATAAGCCCAGCTATGCCTCAGTCCCCTTCCCTCCAGTTTTCTTATCCATCTCCTTAGCTTCTGTTAGTATTCCATCTTTTCCTTCTCCCCCTCCACTTTTCATTTCCTTCAGGTTTGTTCCCCTCCCTACAGAAGCCACTGCTAATCTCTGCAACTGTTGCCTGATCCTCCTATCCTGCCTTTTAAGTAGTCTCTGCGTACCCTTGTTTTTTTTTCTGTTTATCACACAAGTATATTAATATAATCTTTATGCATGCCATGTCCTGCCTGAAGCAATCTTAAGACTAAGATCCTGCTGGTAGCTGCCATCTTGCTTCAAATCCCTTTCTCAAAAACACTTTTTGCAAAGAAAACCCTGATCATAGTAAAAGTGGAATGCAAACAACTATAATCAGTATCTCTTTTCAATCTCTAGATACTTAGGCACGCATCTACTTGTACATGTCTACACTTCTAGTGTGTCCTGGCCTCTGGCTGCAGTCCATGCTTCCTCTTAACACATGGGGTAGTTTATATAGCAATTAGCCCAACAGGTCTCCAGCCAGGATGTGCAGTACAGGCTAGTAAAAGCAAGAAAATCTATTCAAGCTTGAAAAATTATTTCATTCAGTGCTCAACAGTTTGTTTCCAGAGACAGCAAATACTTGTGCTCAGCATATGACACCACTTGCAAGAGGGGCTGATCTGGCATCTGAGAACAGACATCTGCCCAAACTCCTGAGCCACTGTGGATGAGATGGAGCTCCACACACAGCCATGCTAACAGAACACAGAACATGCTTTTCTGTCAATAAGCAATCCTGTTAACAATGACAGAAGAGTAGGTATGTTTGTACAGCAGATATGCTTTTCTGTCCCTCTGTTGCTTCTCTTCTTTCTTTGTTTGCACCAACACCATCAGCCTCAATTAAGAGCTACCTGCTGCACAGCTTAAGCACTGTCTTTGTATTGAAGTGGTTGGAACACCATTGAAGAGATCAAAATCACTGTTTTTCTTAAACTTCCACAGATCGATATTTGAAAGGTTTTTCCGTTTTTATGAAGATCAGAGAAAGATAGGTAGTGCCAGTTATTTATGTTAGAAGTGTTTGTTCCTTCTGTCTCAACAAGTACAAACACATAAGACAATCTCCTGTATTTTTAAGGTTTGGTAATTACACCTGCCAGCTGAAGCTACTAGAGCAGGAAATATATAAAACCCTTAAAATAAATGCATGGTTTTATGACTGTAAAATAAATACTAGCAAATTCTCATGTGTAAATTAGCTAAATAACTCATAAACCATATACGTATTAAACGTTTTCTTTTCCCTTCAGAAGACAAAAAGAACACAATATCATTAGAAAAATAATTAATATGTTAATTGAGGATTTTAATTGCCCAGAGACAAACCTCAGTTGCATTGAAATCTGGCTCAAAATCAGAGTTACATCTGTTGTGGAAAGCACTCCAGTTTTTTCAAGTAAAGACACAAAATCTTGTACATATTAACATAAAATGGAAACTCTGATTGTTTTGCAGCAAAGGCAAATCAAAAAGATAGCAACACCTTCATGCCATTTTCAGGTGAGATCTTCCATTTGCTAATTTGCCAATTGACCACATTGATCTCAGTTTGCAGCCCAGCTTTGGAAGTTATCAGATAGCAATGGTCTTCTCTCCAGGCCTCAGCTGGAGGGGAGGGTGAGGGCTGTAGAATTATATACCATGTGAAGGACTCTTCTGCCTAATGGGTGCCAAGAAATCCAGAGTCTGAGGTGGACAAGGAAGCCTAAATTCTTGAACAATAGTGTTTTTGCAATCTAAATTCACAAGACCTGACCATGAACTTCCCTGTTTCCTACACTTGATAACAGCAAAGTGTGAAGGTGGAGCCTGAGAGAT